TAATCCTAGAGAATGAAAATACTATTCGTAGCGTTGCAGAATTAATGCATTGCTGTTGACATCGAAGTATTATTCAATTTGGCACTTGTCGAAAAATGTATCTGTCGCAGACAAATAGTGATCAAATGAGGCGTTTTGTCAAATGCTCAGGTGAATAGTCAAATTTTTTTTAAGATTCAAATTCTGATTCTTTTTCATCGTACAATGGTAAATAAATTATTTTTAGAGCATCGATGGGTATTTGTCTCGAAATTTGCAGCGTGTATAAAATGCAGAATTTCTTTAATGGTGACAGTTAAAATATATGTGGATCATCTGAGAAGCACCTATAACAAAAGCTCGTAGATTTGATTGATTTTTACTCTGTAAGTATTGAAAATTCAGAAAACCTTAGTGGAAAACATACAAAAATTAGTGCAAAACTACCAATTAAAATTTGAGCCTATCTGCCTTCTTAGCATGTGATAAAATCCTGACAATACTATGTATAGCTGCGATATACCCGTCGTACAAGTTCTCACATTTAAACATTTTTGTACCATCCTCTGTCACTCTATAGTCGATAATCTACTATCTCTCAAACGGACTAACTCATGAATTTCCCCTCTGAATTTGCAATCGACTTTTCATTTTCATTCCTGAGCAGTTTGAAAAGCGAAATATATCTCAATCACTGGAAAAAAAAACACATTGGATCTAAAGTCCTGACTCTTGAAAACATTGACAAGAAAAAATACTCTTGATTCAATCAGATTTTTGCGTAAATCAAAAGGAAATCCGGTCATATTAAGAGGCTTGGTTCTTGATTTAAGCAAAAATCCGATTGAATCAAGAGATTTTCTTGTCGATGTTTTTAAGGGTCTGGACTCTAGATCCAATGTGTTTTTTTTTCCAGTGAATGCCACGAAAATCGAAAATCCTTTAATTTCCTGCACGTTCTGGCAACTCTGTTCTGGATCCAGGTGAATTTCGCGCATCTTGCTCCGCTTCCTCTTGGTGGTCCGTCGGAAGCGGGTAAGTGCCTGGCATTTCCGGCCGTTTTCGCGCCGCTGGTCAAGTTCGCGAGTTCGCGAGTTCGCACGTCTCACAGTGAGCTCGCATCCATGTAAAACTATGGAAATGAATCGATTTGCGGAGAGGTTAGGCGCTCCAACGAAAATCGATCATTCATCACAGTTTCAAATGGAAAAAGCTAGTGTGCCAACCTGCAGCAAAAACTAAATCAAATGCGTACTTAACAAACGATGAATCGTAAAAATTGGACGTAATTATGCTAAGGTGATTCGATGGACTCCACTTTCTTTGTCAGACCGACGTGCGATATATCACATCGATTTGTTCCATAATTTAAACTACTTGTCATTTGTTTCCAATTTTGAGATCGCACTTCCGTTGTCATGAGACTGAAGAATTCATGTACCAAAGATCAAGAGATTCAACGTATTAAAGGAGTGGTTTTTCCAGAGGAAAAATATCGCATTCGATAATGATATCGAAACTGCACTCGAAGGCGATATTTTTCCTCTGAAAAAACCACGCCTTTAATACGTTGAATTTCTTGATCAAATTTGGCACATGAATTCTTCAGTCTCGTGACAACAGAAGTGCGATCTCAAAATTCGAAACAAATGACAAGTAGCTGAAATTATGGAACAAATCGATGCGATGTATCGCACGTCGCTCTGACACAAAAAGTGGCGTCCATCGAATCACCTCAATGGAACTGTTTGCAGGTGGAAAGATGGTGTGTGCTCGTTAGTGCTCGGGTCTTAAGAATAAATGGGGATTTTAAAGCGCCAGTGACGTAAACGGCAAAGAAGCCGTCTCCATTGTCGTTCCTGCTCGGCTTTAACTCATGAGCCCTATCCACAAGGCTCTTGTCACATGTCCACGGCTCACGAGTTAACGCACAGTTTCTTTTGATTTAATGTCAAATCCCGCTTTTTCATTTTCTCAAAAGGAACTACATCCACTTTTACATTGTTTCTCATCCAGCTCACCACGACTCACAAGCTAACCCCATCTTTCCACTTGCAAATACTTCCTTTTTAGCATAAATACGTCCAATTATTGTAATAATAAATTATTCTGGACGATTAGAGTTCATGGGCTGAGTGCCCTTTTGGGACCTAAAAACTCTATCACCTAACCTCCAAAATTCCAATTTAATTCAAAATATCCTTACTCTACCATGTAGATATAGCATCTACCTTTGACCACTGTGCGATGCTTGTGGCGTGCGCTATCGTAATTCGTCGCGGCCAAAGACGGATGTCGAAGACTTCCCCACCCACACTATCCTACCGGCCGTGCGAAGAAAAAACGTCGTATGAGCCTTCTGACATCACCAAATTTCCTTTTACAAATCAAGAATTTCCGGAAAAATTTCTGAATATTTCTCTTTCGATTTTTCCGAGAATTTTGATCGTAATTTTATCTTAGTTGTCTGAAAGTTTCAAGGAGAAATATTCATAAATATTTTGAAAAATAAATATTTTCTGAGAAGAAATTTGGCAATATTTGAATGCTCATACTGCGTTTTTCTTAGCATGGCAGTATCGTTGCTAAGAATAACCGCGGAAGAAACGGCGTGGCGCCAGAAAAGTATTATTTCCCTTTTTTAGGCAAGCCACGCGCTTAAACCACCACGATCATTTGAAACGCAAAAAAAGGCAGTTAAAATCAGCGAACCTTCCGTGGTTATTAGTGGTGAGCACTACTCGGAAAAATGAAGATTTGCGTGCGGGAATGTTTTGATAGTTGGCTTTTATAAATTGCAAATAGGCAATATAATGTTCAAACAGACATATCGCCGTTTGAATATCTCTAAATCACTATAAAAGGAAACCACCTATTGTGTCATTTCCTACCACGGTCTCATCATTTTTGTTTCATCAATTTGTCGCCCTCCTGACAAAAAGGCGTAACTACACTTTGCGATTAACCCTGTCGTCCGTAAAACTCAATGTTTTCCCTGGCTCATCTCAATGTGTAGTTACGCCTTTTTGTCAGCCAAGCAACGAATTAGTGATACATAACCTTTCTGCATGAGCAGAAAATGTTAAACATACAGTGGAGTCTCGATTATCCGCGATATTTGGGACCGGAGATACCGCGGATAATCGAAAATCGCGGATAATCCGAATCTACGCAAGACGGCCGGAAAAAGTCATCGGAAAGACTGTATTTCAAAGGAATCAGTACACTCAAAAAACAAGTATGGGAAGAGTGACTTGCCGGCTGAGTTATGGATCATGGAGCCATAAAATATAGTTCGTGGAGCCATGCTTATAGGTTCACAACCAATAAAGTATGGCTCAGAAAGCCATACAGTAGACGGTAAGTCACTTTGGTTAGAAATTACGAATCTCCGAACCATTTTTATTGGTCTCAGAGTCATACCTTTTTTTGAGTGTAGAGAAACTTACCATGCATTGGAAAAGAATAAAATTATTAACTAAGACTCAAAAAACGTCACCTGTTGAACATATTATACTTTATTTCTTGAAGAATTTCTTGATGGACGATTGAGTCATGCATGGATTTGGAGGAGAGGAATAACCCCGAATTACTCCGATCGGTCCCGATCGCTTTCAGAAGAAATAGACAAAGTTAAAAAGAAGTCCGCTGCATAGACCGCGGATAATCCGAATCGCGGATAACTGAGGCGCGGATAATCGAGACTCTTCTGTACTTTCTTTAAACCTCAACCGGCTTCTTTTTATATTTATAAATTTAAAAACCGGCGTTTCAAATCCATGTCAAAGCAAACTCGGTTTAAACTTTTCACCCCGAACTGTGAGTAAAATGTGTCACCCTCTTTATCAAGAAGCGGAGCGTGCACCCTCCCCTCGCCCAGTCAGAAAAAAAAACAGAATCAGTGGTCTTCCCACGTAAGTCAATTCTTAGATGAACCCCAGTTCCCTTGTATCTTATACACCCCAGAGCTCAAACAAAAACGGACTCGCTCCTTTTTTAAAACAACCAATTAAACTGCGCTGGATGCGATTCAGGCGTAAACGGAAGTCGATACCTGCCCGACGGCCGACCCTCTCACAGGTGCGTGACCTCTGCCGGCATGACGTCACCCCCGTGCAATATTTGAGAAAAGCCATAAATTATTCAACTCCACGATGAGGGGCGACAGGATAGGGGGGTAGCTACTCTTCCGGTAAGTTTCCAACCCCCTAGCTGGATGCCACCCTCTCGGCCGCGAGTGTGCCCCGTCCTCTGAGTTATGACTGCCCTCCAAGTCGCGTTCTCACTTATTTCGGCTTCTTTTCGGTCTAGACTGCTTGTTTCACGGCAGCTTCCCCCTCTAAAAGTAATTTAGATTTCCTCCCTTTTGGAACACCCAATCTTGCCTTCTTCGACCCTAAATTGTGACTGAGGTTGACAAAGGACCGTGGTGGGTCTTTGACTGAATTTTGAGAAAAAGAACTGGCACACAGTGGATCGAGTCAACAGGAGAGGTCGTACACAATCTGGAAACATTTAAAACTCATAACTCCGTTTATACAAAATTTTGAAGTTCTAAAAGTGGTTCCATTGGTTTCCTCGAAAATTTTTCTTCTGAAAGCACCCCTTGAAATGTCAAATGTGACGAAGTAAACATCAAAATTTGCAGTTTTAATCAAAAATTTCGTGTCCGGCCTCTTAATTGACTCGATCCATTGTATGGCGTATTATTGTGTAGTATTATTTAGATAAATTCGTCTGTTTTTATTTAATTTCTTACAAGAATATACCTGTGTAATTCAGTCCAAAGTGCCGCTGATTTCTTCACGAGATCAGAAAAAATTAGTGAAACTTTCAGTTAGAAATGCTTAAGATTCTTAGAATAAAATGCAAGCTGTGAGGGAGAATTTGGCAACATTGACAGTCAGGTTCTTTCGCGAGGGAAGAGACGAATGGTGGGTCTTTTGTGGGTAACTAATGGATTTAAATGAGATGATCTATGAAATGAAAGTAAAGAATTCTATGTGTATTTTCTGTTCCAGGTGATGTGCCGTTTGGAAGTTCGAGAAAAAAGATAACTCCGCAAATTCTACATTTTCTCAAGTGAGTTTCAACACTTTACATTTTTATTCAGGCCCTTTTAATGGGTCAGTTGCGCCGGTCACAAAACGGTATTTTGATGCTTGATTCTTTTAGATTAGCCAAAAATATTAAGATCCGTCCAAATCACAGCTTCCGACGTTCAATATTAACCGAGATATCACGCTTTGAAAAATTCGATTAAGGACGTCATCCACCGCAGTAGTGACACCCTTGGTTTCTTCCACCTTGCTGTCGTCGGAGTTTCACGTTGAGTAACCAGTGCAAATGTGCGTCACACTTACTGATGAAAGTAAGGTGGAAGAAACCAAGGGTGTTACTACCACGGTGGATGACGTCAAAACACCCACTTTTCAAAGCGCGATATCTCTGTTTATATTGAACGTAGAAAGTTGCGGTTTTGGCAGATCGTATTATTTTTAGGTAATCTACGAGAATCAAGCATCAAAATACCATTTTGTGACCAGCGCAACTGACCCATTGAACTCTCCAGTTTTTATTAAGGTGAACCTCACTTTTTTCCTCATTTGATCGCCAAAAAAACCAAGGCGTTGCCATTTTTTAAGGGTTTATCTCTAAATGATAAAATGTGTATCCATGTGTATCCATAAAACTTATAGGTCTTTTTGGAGTGCTTGATTAACTTTAATTTCGAAGCCAATCAATGGATCATCAAAGAAGAGCAAGCTCAACCGGGTCACTTAAATGAACCCTTTTTACCAAACGGAAAGAGGTTCCTGTAACGGCATGTCAGTTTGCCTTCAATTTTTGATGTAGGCAACACAAGCTCCCACGTGGTCGAATAGTGGTATCATACCCCTTAGAATACGCAGCCTCTGTCCCTTTTAGCGAATTCGTTGTGGGCACGATGAGAGATGAGAAGTAGGAACGAGAAAAAGGAAATAAGAGGAAAAAGGAAGAAGAGGAAAAGAGGATGAAGCAAAAAGAAAAAAAGGAAATGAAAGAGAGATTAAAAGAATGATAGATCGGCAAGAATAGACCGAAACAGATTACGGTAAAACCATTGAAGTATTAGGTGACGTCATTGTTTAGCGCCTGCGCGGAGAAAAATTTTCTGTTGGATCAATGGATATTCTGACGGTTTTGACTCTCGTCGAGTCAACGATCCTCCTTGTTTCCAACGGTATTCCCATTCTTTCAGTAAGAAATACCGGCACTTTGAGTAATTCGGTGGACACCTAAACTTCACTATTGAGAAACGAAGGTCCATTGTTATAAATTAAAAACTTCAGTTTTCGTGGATCATGTTCCATGATTTGAGACTTCGGTTTGTTAAACTCTATCTCCGGTTCCAAAAATTGAAGGGCTTGGAAGCTGAGGCGCAAGGTGCAGCTTTTGAAAAAAATTTCATATTAATGAAAAAGTCAGTATGAACTTTCATTTCGTCGAAAGATCCATTCAATTTCGAAACTTCAAATACTACTTTCTCGAAATAGCAAAAGCTACTCTTAATGTGTCTCGTCCTTCAAGTCCCTCAACTGGGCCGCGTTAAACAGAAAGGAACCAAGCCACATCAGCTATTGCCAAATTTAATTGGGAAATTTAATTTTTTACACGAAATGGGTTGTGCCGATTTTCGTGCAAATTTCAGTAAATTTTTCCCACAGTGCGAAACAAATTCCTTAAAATTTCCAAAGGAATCCGCAAAAACGTTCTCTCGTAAAAAATTAAATTGCACAGTTAAAGTTGGCAATAGCTGATGTGGCTTGGCTCCTTTCTGTTAAACGTGGTCCAACTATCGTTCGGAAATTATGAAGTGGAATACAGTAGACTCTGGATTATCCGGATCGATTTTGCAACCATGTAACTACGTACGCATTCCGATAAGTGAGCGGATCCGCGGAGAAGCGATCGCAAGGCATATTGGCGCCTGCAAGGCTGAAGGAATACTTCACGCATTGCGCCTAACAGTGAGGTCGGCGTGGAACACATTAGCGCCTACTAGATTGCATAAATACTTCTCGCATTACGCCAAACGCAGTGCAGTCGATTAGTTAGCCTAAAACGCACATTAGCGGCTACAAGACTGCATGAATACCTCACGAATTGCGCGCTTTAATCGTTGTATTGTAATTTATCGTTGTCGGCTACCATTCACAATCACCATTGAGTCGTTCAGTCTGGCGTTAATCTTTTAAATTCGTGTTGGTATGTACATGATGTATACATAATAAGAATACTGTGGTGTTGGTTGGTGGTGCTTGTGTTTACTATTATTATCCGGATTTCTTTTTCATCCGGATCGGGCCCGGCACCAATTAATCCGGATAATTCAGAGTCTACTGTATTTTTCTCGGTGTGTTGAAGCTTAGACCAAGTACGTTCTTTTCATCCGATGAAAGTTAGCAATCGTTCAGTGTAAATTCAAGCCATTCGAAATTTATTCAGCCTTCGAGTAAATTCTCGAATGATGAAGAATGCCAAAAGAGGGGCAAATTCCTAGCGATTGTCCTTACCAATCAAATCTTGCGACGCCGAGCGAGTCTCTCAATTATATCACTGCCGCAACAGAGACAATATATCTGTTTCTGGTGCTCATTGTAGCCGTGGAATTTCAATCCGACCGTTGGTGTCGTTTGCTCCTGGCGTCACTATTCATCGTCCTTGGAACAAAGGGAACTTCCAAACTTTACAATTGAGATCTATCCACGGGTGACCTTCAACCATTAACCCCTCAAAGCAGCAAGGCCACGACGAAGTTAGGAATCGTTGTTGGCACTTTTTTCTTTTTCTTCATTTTTGCCGCCTCGCAGATGCTCCATCATTGCCACATGTTTTTTTTAGCTCTTTTCACTAAAAAAAAAACGTGAGGATGGAGGGGGGAGGTAAAGTTACAAATATTGATAAAAGAAACAAAGATGTATGGCTCAAGCATTATGATTCTCCCATTTACCGCCAAAGGGTTTTTTCATCTTGGTTCAAGCTGAATTTGTCTAGGAACAAGGAAAAAACTCTTGCGATAAGCAAAACAGTAGATTAAAGTAAACAACGTTATTCTTGGTTTAAGAAAAAGTATTTAGTAGGTAAGTTGGAATTAGTGCTCATCCCCCAAGTTTTGTGGTTATTGAAAGAGAGCAGTGGAGGTTAGGAGTCGTAGAGCGCGAGGGAGTGCTGTAAAGCGACTTATATGTGTGTAAGTTGGAATTTGTGTGGAACATTTCTCGTGCGGCAATTTTTAGATTTTTCAGTTAGTTCTTGGAAATTGTGTCTTGGAAAAGTATCTCTACTTCGGAAAAGCAACTTTTCTTTAAGATGCATCTCTTGATTACGCATCATATACGTTTTTAATACCATGCGTGGCGAGAAAGTTTTTCTGCGATTTCCGCATTTCCAAAAACGAGACAGCCAGAGCGCAGATTCCTGGTTCGGACCACCAAAATTTGATAAAACTGCCGCCAGCTGGAAAAATTATGGAGAGCGCTTGGAGATATTAGCAAATTTTGGCAACCGGGACCAGTGGCGTGGCGTGTTTTGAGATATATCGATTGATTCGCCATTCAAACCTATGAAAAAAGATCGATTATCAGGGCGTTCGCAGCGAACACCCTAGTAATCGATTCTTTACCATAGCTTCAAATGGCGATATATCGATAATCGATCCCTCACGCCACGCCACTGACCGGGACCAAAATTCCGGGTTTAAGCTGCCCGCATTTTCAAGGTGCGGATACCACAGAAAATGTTTGCATCGTGTGATCAATGATGAGGACATCTTATTGACGCGATAAGAAATCTAACTGACATTCCTCGGCTGTTACTCGACTTATCGGAAGATTTTGCAACTTAATATGATTTTCAGTAATATAGTTCAATGTCGGTGTGGCAAAATATTTTTGATTATTATTTGAAATATTATTCAGAAGAGGTTGCCGATTGAAAGTTCCTAAAAATTTCTCTGGAAAAAGTGCGCCAAGGAGAGATCTGCATGTTTTAGGCACAGGCACCATCGTATTTCCATCTCTTAGTCCCATAGTTTTTACTAGTTTAATTAAGCGTCGAAACAAACCCTCTGAAAAACTCTTCAAGCTAAGTGAGTACTCAAAATAAGCTCTTGAATTCACGTGCCACTAGAATGGGACAGTATCACAGACTCACTTGTTTTGATAATCAAATAAAAAATTAATAATTAAGTTTCACTGAAGTGCCAAATTTCTACTTTCAGCATCAATAGACGTAACAATTTAAACAAATTAATGAACCCGCGAAATCCGGGATTTTGAAAACCCACTATATAGGTAACGTCATCCACCGAGTTGATGCTAACAATAGTTAGCTGTCTATCATTGGCTTACGGTGCAGATTTTCTCCAACAGTGATCGCTATGCTCAAAGGGGGAAAATCATGGCATTTTACAAGAATCGTGCATCACTATTATGCATTCATAACCACATCCCATCAAGTGCGTTTTAAAAATATAATATCTCCGTTTACATTGCGAGTAGAAACACGGTGCTAAACATTTTTTTCTCCAATTCATGAACCCATTTTTGACTGATTTTTGCTTTAACATTTCAATCAGAGTAATTGATGATAAACGCTCACTTTATTTAACATCTCACACCAACGCTTTGTTCATCTGCAATAATTTTATTGCAAACTAAAAAGATGCTAGCGATATCGGACTTCGCCAAAAAGCTCTAATTTTTCATGCTTTCGTCTCGGTGTTATCGCGACCCATTCTGTCGTTTTTGTTTCATCAATAACACCAACAGTAAAGTTGAATGTGACAACGGTGTCTGAATTTGCCGGGGGCGTTAAAGTACAGAAGCTCCTCACCTGATAAAGACGCATATCTACTACTGCATTCTATTTTTAATACCGTTCGTCTTCTTCCACGGTTCGGTCTCTTTAGTACAGTAATTTTTATAAAACGCCGCACAGTGGATCGAGTCCAAAGGAGAGGTCGGGCAAAATTTGGAAACATTAAAAGCTTAAAACTACTTTCATACATAATTTTGAGGCTCTGACATGGCTTTATTGGC